ATTTCTTCATTCCAAAATCATCTATATATTATTAATCGCACTCCCTGTTTAATAATAAGTATCAATTACATAGTTTGCCAAGGATGACCTGGAGGAATATCTAGCAGAACCTAATGGACATTTGTAAAATTTCAAAACATGTTTTCAATCAACCATAAAAATAGAATGCTGTAGTGCTTGCTAACAATGCATTTATTTTTCAGCCATAAAATCTCACACCGGTCATTACCACTGCATTATTAGTTCACTGTAAAAATTAATTTCCCCTCAAAAGAGAAAAAATGTAGACTTCTCCTGCAGCAGTCTTTTATCAAAATGCATATTTCTCTAAAAAAAAACTATCGAAACAGGAAGGCTGCAGAAATCAAAAATTGGAATCATAGGATCACAGAATAGTTGAGGTTGGAAAGAACCTTTAAAGGGCATCTAGTCCAACCCCCCTGCAATGAGCAGGGACATCTTCAACTAGATCAGGTTGCTCAGAGCCCCGTCCAACCTGACCTTGAATGTTGCCAGGGATGGGGCACCTACCACCTCTCTGGGAATCCTGTGCCAGTGAAAAACTTCCTTATAGCTACCCTCTTTTAGTTTAAAACCATTATCCCTTGTCCTATCACTACAGGCCCTGCTAAGATGTCTGTCCCATCTTTCTTATAAGCCCCTTTAAGAACTGAAGGGCTTCAATAAGGTCTCCCTGGGGCCTTCTCTTCTCCAGGCTGAACAACCCCCACATCTCTCAGCCTGCCCTCACAGGAGAGGTGTTCCAGTCCTCTGATCATTTCTGTGGCCCTCCTCTGGACCTGCTCCAACAGGTCCATGTCTTTCCTGTGCTGAGGGCTCCAGAGCTGGACACAATACTCCAGGTGGGGTCTCACCAGAGCGGAGTAGAGAGGCAGAATCACCCACTTTGACCTGCTGTCCACACTTCTTTGGATGCAGCCCAGGATGTGGTTGGTTTTCTGGGCTGTGAGCATACATTGCAGGCTCATATTCAGCTTTTCATACACCAGTACCCACAAGTCCTTCTCGGCAGGGCTGCTCTCAATCCCTTCATCCCCAGCCTGTACTGATACTGGGGATTGCCCCAACCCAGGTGCAGGACCCTGCACTTGGCCTTGTTGAACCTCATGACATTCACACGGGCCCATTCCTCGAGCTTGTCCAGGTCCCTCTGGATGGCATCCTGTCCCTCAGGTGTGTCAGCCACACCACTCATCTTGGTGTCATCTGCAAACTTGCTGAAGAGTGCACTCGATCCCATTGTCTATGTCATTGATGAAGATATTAAACAGTACTTGTCCCAACACAGACCACTGAGGGGCTCATCACTGATCTCCATCTGAACATTGAGCCATTGACCACTACCCTCTGGATGTGACCATCCAACCAATTCCTCATCCACTGAACCGTCGGGCCATGAAATCCAGATCTCTCCAATTTAGAGAGAAGGATGTTGTGGAGGACTGTGTCAAAGGCCTTACAGAATTCCAGCTAGATGAAATCCATAGCTGTTCCCTTGTCCGCTGATGTGGTCACTCCATCATAGAAAGCCACTAGGTTGGTCAGGCAGGATTTGCCCTTGGTGAAGCCATGCTGGCTGTCTCGAATCACCTCCCTGTCCTCCATGTGCCTTAGCATAGCTTCTAGGAGGATCTCTTCCATGATCTTCCCAGGCACAGAGCTGAAGCTGATAGATCAGTAGTTCCCAGGGTCCTCCTTTCTACCTTTTTTAAAAATGGATGCAATTAATGTTTCAGGGTCTGTTGATGTTTTCTTCTAAAAGCTGGTGAGCAGGTTTTTCCAATATTATTGAAATTATTAGTGGAAATAAAAAATCATCTTCAAGGATTTAATTGGTTCTGATTAAATTTATAAGCCAAACTGTTTGATTTCCATCACATGCTATGGAAACTTTTCACAATGGCTTCCTTGGAATAAGTCCTACTCAAGTTAGAAGGAACTGAACGTGCTTGTAAATTCTGAAAGGTGGCTGAGCAGTGCATATTTCTTGTAAATATGTCTCCTTTCTGTTTAGGAAGTGTAAGTGAATTTGTTTACAACATAAGATGGGTTGCTGTTTGCTTGGTGTTTCAGCTGCTACGGAGGTTTCCTTTTCATTTGATGTTGGAAATGGGCCTGTGGAAATCGTTGTTAGATCTCCCAACCAGCTCAATGATGACCAGTGGCATCGGGTCAACGCGGAGAGGAATGTCAAACAGGCCAGTCTTCAGGTAGACCAATTACCTCTGGAGGTCCGGAAAGCACCAACAGAAGGACACACACGTCTGGAATTGTATAGCCAGCTCTATGTTGGTAAGATGCAGAGTGGGTAACCAGGCTTTGCTCTCACATGCTTAACACTCTTGCCTCATGTTTTGCCAGGAGCTGTTAGTTTAATGTGAGAAGTTGCACTCCTGATGCACTTGCATGATGCCACAAGGTGAATAAAAAAAAAAGAAGAAAATACAAGCATGTTCATAATTACAGAAATAAGATCAACTAGAAGAAAAATATTCTGTGCAGGCAACTTGTCATTTTTGTCTTTCCCCACCTGCAGCTCCTAACTGAAAGTGCCTCTAACAGGCAGTATTGCCAAACTCCTTTTTTTCCAGGTGTTTCTCTCACACAGACCCACTTATTCACCACAGAAGTAAAAAATTCTGAATAGGTCTCACCAGGACTGCATGTGCCAGCAGTGCCCATCCTAGCCTTGGCAGCACTTTCAGCCTCTTTAAGTTTGAACACTGCCTGCGCTTTTGCATTCACAGCTCTCGCTGTGAATTCTTTTCCCTTTAGTTCCATGGGCAGTTTGCCCAGTCAATGTAGGAGGGCATCACACAGTGTTGCACAAATGCATCTCCTGGGACCAAGTTAGTCCAGCTGCTTTCTGGAGTTTCTGGTCTTTGCTACATTTGGGGAAGCTATTCCAGCAGCATTTGTATTTGTCTGACTGTTAGCCCTGGGGCTGTGAAGTGCAGACATGCCAAGTGCCATTAGCTGGAACCACAACTGCATGAAATGTTGAGCAAAGCAGCACTTTCCTACCGCGTTAGGTATCTGTTAACAGGAGAATAGGGAAGGGGGAAGGAAAAAAAGGCGTTTTTTTTTCCCATGTTAGTCAGGGTTCAACAGCAGAAATTAAAATGATGCATTCACTACCTTAGTAAACAGCACAGTGTCACTGCAAGCTGCATATAATGAGTCAGCAGATGTGCAGTCACTATTTACAAGCTCAGATTCTCCTTTATTGCTGACTGTGATCCAAATAAAAGGTAGTTTTAAAACAAGCTGAAATGTGAAGTTTGTTTAAAAGAGGGAGCCTTGACTTTTTGAAAGAAATACCAAGCCTTTTGCCAAAAACAGGAAGAGCTGGAATTTATTCCCCAGACTGAGTTCTTGGGGAATTGTTAATAATGATAATTTTTGTTGGTAGTTCTGAATTAATTGTAACACCAGCAATGTTTTGAAATACCTAATACCTTTATTGCCAAAAACTGAATATCCAAATCTGCACCAGATTTTCTTTCGTTCTGAATCATATACATTTCATGTAACCTGGTGATTGGAGCACACATATCACAGAACAGATTTAAGTCCTTACCCAGAGTCAGACAGAGAAGTGATTTGAGTTGGAGTGTCCCAAATGAGCACCCTGAACATTGGGGCCTGGACAGTAATACCGAACAAGAATTGGTTTGGTGCCTCCTGTTCCACTTTGTGTTCCACTTTCTGTAGAATAAATATCTATTCCTTGGGCCAGCAAGAGAGCCTGAGGGATGATGACTTCATGTCCTAGGAGCTAAGACAGTCACCACAAGGGGAAAGAAGGGAATTAGATTTCTTTTTCATCACTTCAGTGTGTATGAGTTTACATAGAAGGGAACCACACCAGAATGTCATCTGCCCTGTGCACTTGGCAGTGACCAAGCATTGCCTCCTCTTACTCTAAATCATCCAGTTACCATCTCTTTGGTTTGTATTTAGTCCTCTTCCCCACTCAGGTAAATATCAGCCTCTGTGCTCTGTGGTGACGAGCATTCAGATCTCCTCAGGGACTCTTCAGCACCTGCCACACTGCAGTAATCAGAGATGAGAGAATGAGGAGAAAGGATCACAGTCACTCATTGTTATTTGCTTGCATTTTTCAGGAGTTTTTTGTTTCTAATCCAGCCCCAGATAATAGACTTTTCTAGCTGAAATCACTTTTTTCAGCAAGTGTTTACTAGGAGGAATAAAGGAACAGTTCTTATTGACTGCGAAGAAAAGCCATCTCAACCCAGATTTTCAAATGCAGTTCTTCAGTGTTACATCCTTCACCCTATACTCAGGCAACTAAACAATATATGTGATGTTGTTTGGAAATGAACATCACTATTTCCTATTGCAACTGAGAGCAGCAATTTAAAAGTTTTCTTTCTTTCCTCATTATGGCTTTGAAAAATGTAATGCTGCATAACATATCATGGCATTATTATTATCATCCATCACCACTAATCATATGGAGAGTAAGGCTATACCTTAGCAATTGAGCCAAGCTCATTTCTTCCACTGTTATCTCTAAAAATCTTGACATTGAAATGAAATGAACTCTTACAGTGGAGGGCTAGAATCTCTAATGTTGAATCATTGTAAAGCAAACACACCTACTACTTATGCTTTCTTATGATATGGTATCAAAAGGTTAGGTTTCATTGATTTTGTTGTCATTAGGAAAAGGCAATTCCTTGCCTTTACAAAGAAGTTACTTATTTCCAGCTGTTGTCACAAGCTTAGCAGGATATTTCATGTAAAACAACAACAATAACATCTGTTCAGTGTTGTCTCACAGTTCTACATTCCCTCTCAGGTGCTGCAGGAGGCCAACGAGGCTTCCTAGGTTGCATTCGTTCATTAAGGATGAATGGGGTGACGCTGGACCTGGAAGAGAGAGCGAAAGTCACGCCAGGGGTGAAGCCTGGCTGCTCTGGCCATTGCACGAGCTATGGGATGTACTGCGCAAATGGCGGTAAATGTGTTGAGAAATACAACGGTTACTCCTGTGACTGCTCCAAAACTGCCTATGATGGACCATTTTGCATTAAAGGTAAATGCTTTAGTGCAGGAGGCAGAGTATGAGAGAACTATCTGCCTGAGAAAAAAACACTATAGGATCAATGCTTCAGCTTTTATTAATTAAACAAGTAAATCCTATTTAATACTTCTTACAAACAAGTCAAATTATACACCCAGGATTTAAATGTGATGATTTAAAACCACATCTCTCATTAGTACTAATATATGTTACTTATTTAAATCAAATAACACAACAACAAAATGCATCAGGAATAATCTAGCAGACTATATTGTGTAGTCTTGAGCTTTTGAACAATGAATTCCTACTAGCACATCTTGGTTACTTCTTTACAAAAATGATGGAATTAAACAAAAGCTACCTAGTCTTATTCAGAAACAAATTTGGAGATACATAGGTGTGAGCTTTGGGTTGAGTATCTTATAAATTGGGAGGCCAGTATTTGGATTAAAAATTTTACCCATCTGTAGCCAGATCTAGTCTTTTAGTAGCTCAAACTGGATTAGAGATTGAACTTGCTAGAGTAAGGGAAATGCACAGAGCTCCCACATCTATGTCAGTCCTTCAGAAATGCCTAAAGTATGTTCTAAATTTTCAAAAACAATGATTTTGAGACCAATTTACTGTGGACATTCATGCCTGCATATAAGAAAGAAAGTCAAGGAGTAAGGGAAAGAGGGATCTTACATACCAAAATCAAAGTGAGAATAAAGACACTGATTTATTTCAATAAGTTTTTTCTTATTTTGACCAGAAATTATTGTGACAAAGTAAATAGTAATGGACATATAATTCTCCAAGTGTTTGCACAGTTTGCAGGCTTTGTGGCCATTCGTTTCCCTTCCATTTCATAGGATATTCTCATTATATTCTTGAAATATTCTTCTCAACACCTCTAAAGGTTTTGTCACATTTCCCTGAGGTGCTAATATCTCTCAGCAGCTCTCTTTCACTGTGCTTTTATTGGTACACAAAATCATCCAATCTGTTGCTTTTCCTGATCATTTTAAAGCTTTCTCAAATGGTACTAATCCTACAGTTTCAACAAAAAAATGTGAAGGCTCTTCTCATCAGTATTTGTTATGTTAAAGAAACCTCTAGCCACATAAACTGCTCTTCTGCTTTTACGTTGCCCACTGTACCAAGAATCCTGCAGGCAGGCTGGGTCACCAGTCACCAAATTCCCTTCATGAAGGTGTCTTGGCAGTAGGGGAAAGCTCCTGTCCTTTGACATTCTGGTTTCCAACTCCTTCTTAACTTCTCTTTTTTTTTTCCACGTAAAACTTTGAGGATTACTTTGCAGATATCCATACCCTGCTACCTTCCAGGCACACTTAGAGGAAACAAGTTTGTAACAGAAGGAGGTAGTCGCAGTCTTTTTACCCAGTGCTGGGTTATGGACTGTATTTCCTCCACACATGCTTCAGCCACCTTCATTTATATACATATATATCCATCTTCATTTCATTTTATTATAACAGAGCTTTGTCCGTTGCTGATGTTGTTCACACATATAAGCACCCTCTTCTAAAAGCTAAGGGATAGTTTTCACAGCACCAGATATTTTGATTAATCTCTAGCATGATTATTTTATAAATTCCAATAAATATGATGTATTTCCAGTGCAGCAGAAGTGAAGCAGCTGCTGCTTTAGGTTTTTGGCTTTCACTATACTTGCATGCAGGAATTTCATCTTGTTTCATTATGCTATGTTGCTTCAAAGACAAATTAAAAACATGTCTATTACATTCAGGACTGCACATACAGTAACTCCTGAAAATGTGAGTACTGATTTCAGTTAATTTAGCAAATGATTTGTTGTAAGTTAAGAGTGGTAGTGCATATTTAGTATTTCTGTTCACTAGTGCAGTTATGTTAGAAGAAACCCATTCAGGCTGGAACTGGATCGGTCTCTTATAGATCACATGCATTGACTCAAGAAAAAATTTTAAAAAAATTGCTGCCATGCCATATTTAGTGAGTTCACTTTTTTTTTTTACTGTATTGACAAAATTAATCACTGGCTTTTATTTGTGTTTTTCTGTTTCTCTTATGGATAGATAAACCCCAAACTTCTGCCAAAACGAGCTCCAAGCTAAAGTGTTTTATTTTTCCTGGATGTGGAGCTAACAGAATAAAAAATAACACTAGGGGAATAATTGAGCACCTAACACAGACAAACCCTGGTTTTGGCTGGTCAGTAAGCAGTCATATCCACAGCAGTAAGATTATAATCTATTATACTGTAATATTCTCCTTATCAGCCTCCCAGTCCAGTCAAAGGCCCAGAGCTCTGACGGTGATACTTTGGCATGCAGTAAAACTTGCTGTAAGCTACTGCTGCTGGGCAGCACTGAGTCATGCAAAGGTACTCATGCTAGCATGGGGATCTTTGTACCACACAGTGTTGTGCCATTTAAATATGACATCAGATCTCTGCTTTAAATATCAAAACTATTCCAGGCTAAAAATATCTCTCTAAATCCTTCAGTCCTTATGTACAAAATGCAAATTACCAATTTCCTGTCTGTTAGTGCTGAAAACTGATGTACTCATCTAGGATATCCCCAAATATGATTTAGTGTGGGTGACTTCATGGGGCTTCTCTGTAGAAACAACAATGTTTCACTGGGATAAAGTTAGAGGATAGATTAAACACAAAATAGACTGGGTTTGGGGCATCCTGTGATCAAAATAATTGTAAAATCTCTGTAACAAACAGTGCTGATAATAAGATCTTTAGAACAGTAAATATTCAGCCCATTAAATTTTACATTGTAAATTTAACTTGCATTAAGCCTTTTAAATCAAGTAAAGCTGGAACATCTTATGCATGTTGTCAAACTCCCTTGACTTGTGAAAGAAGAGGATCCTACATTTTCTTTCTAATAGTAGTTCCTGGAATCTTGTACCATGTCCTCTAGGTCCATGAGGCAAGACTGGATGTATTTTCTAGATACAAAGGGCAAACATACAGTACTAATGACAAAAAAATAAATACTGGCAAAACAGCTGAATATATTTTAGTTAAAAAGATATTTTAAAAAATTATAAATACTGTAAAATTTGTTGGAAAATAGCAGGGAATCTTTACCTGCTTTCCCTGTAAAATAAAAATGTTATCTAAATTATATTTTCATTAATTTGAATGAATATATCACAATTCTGATATTTCAATTCATTTTTCATTAACACTTTGACACTTTCCCCTCTCTAAAAGCCCTGAAACATCTGTGAACATGTTTTTAAAGACTGTATTCTCTGTTTCCAACTAATTCCATTCCTTATAGCAAGGACATAGTTGAATACTGCTCTGTCATGGAATCATAGAATCATAGAATCTTTGGGTTGAAAGGACCTCTAAAGGGCATCTAGTCCACCCCCTGCAATGAGCAGGGACATCTTCAACTAGATCAGGTTGCTCAGAGCCCCGTCCAACCTGACCTTGAATGTTGCCAGGGATGGGGCACCTACCACCTCTCTGGCCAACCTGTTCCAGTGTTTCACCACCATCATTGTGAAAAATTTCTTCCTTATAGTTAGTCTAAATCTACCCTCTTTTAGTTTAAAACCATTATCCCTTGTCCTATCACTACAGGCTCTGCTGAGACATGTGTCCCATCTTTCCTATGGACCCCCTTTAAGTACCGGAAGGCTGCAATAAGGTCTCCCCGGGGCCTTCTCTTCTCCAGGCTGAACAACCCCCACATCTCTCAGCCTTTTCTTCCAGTTAGATGAAATCCATAGCTCTTCCCTTGTCCACTGATGCGGTCACTCCATCATAGAAGGCCTCTAGGTTGCTCAGGCAGCATTTGCCCTGGGTGAAGCCATGCTGGCTGTCTCGAATCACCTCCCTGTCCTCCATGTGCTTTAGCATAGCTTCTAGGAGGATCTCTTCCACGCTCTTCTCAGGCACAGAGGTGAGGCTGATAGATCAGTAGTTCCCAGGGTCCTCCTTGCTACCTTTTTTTTTAAAAATGGGCACAATGTTAAAAAACATTTAACTAGAAAAACTCCCTTTTTCTAGTTACCAGGACCTTCATCTGACTGCCATGACTTTTCAAATATCATGGAGAGTGACTTGGCAACTATGTCAGCCAATTCCCTCAGGACTCTGGGGTACATCTCATCAGGTTCCATAGACTTGTGCCTATTCAGATTCCTCAGGTGGTCACGAACCTGATCTTCTCTTACAGCGGGAGGGACTTTGCTCCTCCAGTCCTCATCTCGCAGGGCAATCCCTTGAAAGGTGTGGGAAGATACACTGCCAGTGAAGACTGAGCCAAAGAAGTCATTGAGTATCTCAGCCTTCTCCTCATCCATTGTTAACAGTGTGCCAGCCTTGCTCATCAAGGGGGGTACGCTTTCTTTGACCTTCCTTTTCTGACTGACATACCTATAGAAGCCCTTCTTATTACTCTTTGCATCCCTTGCCAAGTTCTGCTCCAACTCCACCTTGGCCCTCCTAACCTCAACCGTACACAAGCAGGCAGCATCCCTGTCCTCTTCCCAGGATACCTGTCCCTGCTTCTACTTCCTGTTCTTGCCCTTTGGTTTTCCCAGTAGGCCTCAACTCAGCCGTGCCAGCCCCTTGCCTTCTTTTCCTGATTTCTTACACCTGGGGATTGAGAGCTCTTGTGCTCTGTGGAAAGCAACCTTAAAGATCTGTCAGCTCTGTTCTGAATCACAGAATCATGAAGATTGGAAAGGACCTTCAAGATCATCAAGTCTGTTCCCTTGTCCCTGAGGGCAGTTTCCTCAGGGGGTCCTATTGACTAACTCCCTGAAAAGCTGGAATTTTGCTTTTCTAAAATTCAGCATCCTTCCTGGCTTTCCTCTTCGCCTGCCCCATATCCCTCAGGACTGTGAACTCCACCAGTGCATGATCACTGCAGCCCAGGCTGCCTCCAGTTTTGACGTCATCAATTGGCTCACATGCATTGGTGACCAACTGGCCCAGTATCGTATCCCCTCTGGTAGGGCTGTCTACTATCTGGCATAAGGAAGTTACC